ATTGAATCTATACCTGTCAACAAGGGAGAAAAGAGTTTTTCTGAATCTCTGGAAGGATTAGAAATGTCTAATTTAGATTCAGTCCAAAGGAGTAAACTTTTAGGGCTACTGAGGAAATATCAAACATTATTTACACGTCCAGTGCAACCAGCACGAGTAGGTACACACAAGATCGAACTTATTCCTACTGCTATTAGGAAGGAAGAAACCCCACTGCTATGGAATACCCATGGCATACCGCAAAGCAGTAGATGAGCAGATACGTGAGTTGCTAGAATTAGGATTAATTGAACCTTCTGAGTCAGAAATTGCTCATCCTATAGTTTGTGTGGCGAAAAAAAAAAAGATGCTACAGTTAGAATGTGTATAGATTTTAGATCATTGAATGCTGTAACGAAAACTCCAACATTTCCCATGAAAGACATGCAGGAATTGATTTTTGTGGCGGGGGTGCAGCAAACTGGCTGACAAGCATCGACCTTCGAAAAGGGTATTGGCAAATCCGAATGGATGAAAAGAAAGAGCAAACCTTTGACTGCATTTGCAACATGTAATGGAGTGTACCAGTGGAGAATAATGCCTTTCGGCTTATCAGGAGCCTCGGGGACATTCCAGAAGGAAATGAATTGTGCTTTTCAGAGTCATAGTGATTATGCTCAGGCATATATAGATGATGTGGTGATTTTCTCGAAAACATTTGAGGAACACTTGAAACACATTTTCCTGGTTCTGGACACTTTAAAAAAATTAGGATTTTCTGTACGTTTGGACAAATGTACTTTTGCAGCTAAAAAAATGAAATATTTGGGGCATATAATTGGAGGAGGCAAGCATGGTCCTGATGAAGAAAGGGTCAAAGCAATTAGAAAACTCGTCAGGCCAGTCACAAAAAAAGATGCGAGATCGGTTTTAGGACTGATGGGATTTTATCGATCTTATATTCCCAATTATGCAGAAATATCGGCACCACTGACAGAGTTTACTAAGAAGAGGCATGCCAATATTGTTCTATGGGGGGGGGAGTTGGAACAGAATGCTTTTAACAAATTAAAGGATACTTTGTGCCAAGTGACATCTATGGCCACAACAAATATTGAAAACCATTTCAGATCCATTGTGATGCATCCAATTTGGCAGTAGGCTGCTGTTTAACCCAGATAGACTAAAGTGGTAACTATTGTTGTATTGCAGTTGCAAGTCAAAAGCTTTCTCAAACTCAGAAAAAATTGGGCAAGCATTGAGAAGGAAGCTTGGGCAGTCTTATTTGGTCTGAATAAATTTGATAAATGGATCTATGGGGCTCAAGTAGAAATTATAACGGATCACCCTCTCAGATATTTGAATGAAACTACTCCTCGAAGTCCCAAATTGACGAGGTGGGCTCTGGCATTGCAGAAATGGAACTTGCGGATTAGTCATAGGCCAGGTATCCAGCACCAAAGTGCAGATGCACTCTCACGTCTAGATCAGATATGATATGAGTAATATAATTTGATTGTTTTTTGTATGATTGTAATAATTTATTGTTTGTTCTGTTTTGTTTTATTTAATACTGTACGAGGTTGGTATTGTGTAAAAGTAATGTACAGAAAATTTGCTTGGATATTGATTAATGAAATACGTCCCAAAGAAAGGACAAATTTCATTCTTGGCAGGGGCGTGTCATGCACATACTCTATGCTACCGACCAAACCTGCCGGAAGAACAGACTTATAGCTGAAAGCCAACGACTTATAGCTGAAAGGAGAGAGAAGAAAATCTGGCAACGAAAAGAAGAAGCGTGCTTGATGCGAGAAGGACGGCATGCTCGTGTGAAAAAAACAGTTTATCTGAAAGGAGAGGGAAAAATATCTGGCAACGAGAAGAAGAAACGTGCTTGATGCGAGAAGGACGGCATGCTCGTGAGAAAAAATTTGAAATTAGTTTGGCTGTATTCCGAGAGTAGAGTTTGTCTTTTTTTTTTTTTTTTTTTTTTTTTTTTTTTTAGTCCAAAGGGATTTGAATCCCGAAGGACTATTAGTTTCGTTTTGGCATTTTGCTGCGGACTCATAAATGTCGGTTCACTTTTCAAACTGTTGCCACAAAATGTTAGAGTCCTGCATTATATTTGAAGAAATTAAATAATGAAAAATCTGCATAAATGTATGTATATTTCTCGTATTGTGATAAAACAACGGTACATAGAGTCATCGAATTTTGAATAACGTAATCCTCCAACGAATATGAGCATGTGGAAGACCAAATTTGAAATTTGAAATTTGTTTTATGATCGATTTCCTATTTTTTAAAACTTTGACGAATTTTTGATTAACAAACTCAAGGATTTCAAAGCGAGCAATGGCAACGTTGTGCAGAAAAAACATTTTTTATCTCCAGCGCGTGAGTCTCTGTATCGGAAATTCTAAAGATATGCTCGTTTTAAAACTATTTTGCGATATTGCTGTTGCACTGGATCTTATGGTTTAAGTGCGAGGAACATGATATTTAATAAAGAAAGGTAACACACAAAATGTTAAAAAACGCCCCTTTGGACGTAATTTAAAATCTGAAACATATCAGATTTTTAGTTTTTTATCATTTTTTTTTAAATCAACATTTTTTTTTTTTAAGCAATACTTTGTGAAAAATTAAACTGTATTTACAAAATTAAAATATAGCTCATGTTATTGTTAAACCTGCATAAGTGTCCCAGTTTATTTCCTGCAAATAGAGTTGACTAATAACATTCATAAGTGGATAGAAACGAACCGACAAAGATGAATTGATCAAAGGATCGAATTTATGACAAAGTACTTCTTGAAAATCGGTTGCTTCGCGCAAAAGTTGCCATTTATTCCTTGTCTAATACGTAGGTATTACATGACTTCGAATTGTTCTTAACTATCAGAAAACAATTTTTTGTTTTTCTGTTTTCACCTCTGTGTCTTTTGGTCATAGCGCAGCTAAATATATTAAATACAGGTTTTATCAACGCAAATCTCTTCCATTCCAAAATTTTGAAACTTTTTGGTATATTCCTTTGCAGATTGCATTCTCTTAAATTGATTTGAAGAAGACACCAGCGGTTTTTCTTTGGTGCAGTTTTACATTATACAATACTCGTAGATCTGAAAGATTTTCTTATGGTGTAGATTTAGTTGTGATACAGTATATAACCATTTAAAATTATCTGACATTTACTTGTTCTTTTCATGTATTTTATAAGGTAATTGTTCATTTACTCATTGTGTATTATTTAAATTAAAACTTTCCGACTACTTAGTGTTAAGTTTCTTATTCATATATTATTTTGTAGACTTTCTTAAATTTTGAGTGGATTGATGTTAGAATTGTAAAGATATAAGGTTAAACATAATTACTTAGTGACTACACAAACTGTTAACTTTCCTTTGTTTCGGATTAATTTTTGTCTTCGCACTTACCTAGAATTTCCAAGAATACGAATAAAATGTAAAACTTAGCTAAAGGTTTATTAACACTGTGTCTTATATACAACTAAAAAAATTTAACAGAAACTTATCCTTCGCTACTTGCGAGGTCTCAGAAATGCGAATGTTAAATATCTACAATATAATAGCTTCAAAGTTTAAAAACCCAGCTTCTACTCGCGAGCTCTAGGATTGTGCACTATTATCACATACCAGCGTAGATCAGCAAACAGATGGAAGGCTCATGAAAACAAACTACTGTCTGGTATGTTGATAAAGCTCTTTCTCTCTAACTTGCCCATTTTCTTGTTACTTAAATTTTACCCAATCTGCATTCTGATGAAGGCTGAGGGAAGAAATAGAAATTACAGGTAAGTATTAACATAAAAATGTTCGTATTAATTTTACAAAGACAACTAGAGTAGAACCAGAGGTACCGGAAAAAAAACCTCTGTACCTGTTTCCGGTAATAATTTTTCTCTGTAAACGGATGACGTCTGGGGATTTCTTGCTAACCTGCTATATTTTTAAAAGCTTTCGAAGCACTGGGAGCGATTTTTCTGAAAGGTTCTGGAAGATTTGATCTATTCATAAGCAATCATGTAAACAGAAGCTTGTGAAGAGCTGTGAACCAGTTGAATGAAGATTCTCTGTCTTTTTTTTTCGTTGCTGAGTTTTCTGTTAGGTGATCACTCATTTACTTTGCAGCTGATTTTGTCTGTATGGCGTATTTTTTCCGTGATAAGGAGAGTTCTGCATTCTTCTAAGTTATAGCTGTCTATCTTCTTTGTAACAATTTTTATTCATATCAAATTGGAATAAAGTTTCAAGTTTTCCTTTTTGATTCCAGATGTTTTAAAACATTTCGACGAAACCACAGCATCCAGCAGTTTTAGAAGTTTTGCTCATAACTTGTTGAATTTCTTAGAGAAGTATCGGAGCATTTTCCCATCTCTATAGTTCTCGGTAAACTAAAACTTTACAAACGTTACCTAGTTTCCTTGCGCTGAACAGATCTGTATCAAATCGTCTCGTAAACTGCAGAGGTCATTTAATTAAAATCTGCGTAAAATTAAAATTGAATTTCTTATAAGAATTTTTAGATATCGTCGTACTCGAACAAATTCTGTACATAACGCGTGATCATTGGCTATATTCAGTTTGCATCTTCCACTGAATAGTTTCTTGTATCATCTGAGAGCTCTGGTTGTTTCAGTTGTTAATATAGGAAACGAAATAATTCATATAAGTGCTTAACATAAGCAGCTAATTACTCAGCGACTGAGAAACCATTTTATTTTGTATATAACCTTCTATACTTTTGTTGGAGTAGATAATACAGTGTTTTATTGTATTATCACGCATCTTCAGCTTTCTAGTCATTGAAAGAAATGTTCCTTCAAATGTGAGAAAAATTACAATGAGAAATTATTTCTTTGCAAAACTCGTGTGCGCTATAAATCCTTGTTTTATTGCAATCTTTTTTAATGGGAAATTATTTCTATGTAAAACTAATGTGTGCTATGTAAATGATTATTTTATTTTAATCTGTTTTATTTTATTCTTTTACAGTTAAATTGCAGCTTAACAGAAATATCATCACCATCCTCAATGATCTTGGAATAAGGCATAGAACCTTTTTAAAATTACAAGAAAAGATGGTAAATGCTTTAATGGAAATGCTTTTTGAAGAAGAGAAGGCAGCTGCATTTTTAATGTCTGAAACACCATCTGCACTCTTCCCTTACAAAGACTTGACTGGTTCTGGCATCTATTTGACTACAGAGCCATTTTTTCGATCACTTCTTCTGGCACTGCATAGACATTATGGTGGTAAAGAAATTTATGTTTTTTCATACGTAAAGGAATTTTAGATAAAATGTTGAGAGAGGTACTTTATGAATAGAATTTTTTTACGTTAGAAATTTTCAGAAAGGATTTTTAATATGCAAATTTTTATCTCTTTTATTACATTTATTTTCAGATATGTGTTCAATGCAAGATACATTATTATTATTAAAGAGATTAATTCTGACCAAAATGCTCTAATCAAAGCTCGGCTTCGTAATTTTTAATCTTTTAGGAACTTAAAGTTGCGAGGACATTTGCGAGGGTTTTGTGTTGCGAGGGTTTTGTGTTAAAGAATAAAAGCCAAAGGTTTTTATAAAATCAGCTAGCTGTGATATGATTGATTTGTAAAATTTCTTTTAGTTAACATGTTTTTATTTATGTTACAATTTGTCTCTTGTTTCATTTTTTGCATCAGAATGGGTTTAGAAGCGACAAGTATTTAGATTTAAGCAGAAGTAAGTTTGTAAAGAATGTTATCCTTCTTTATCGCGTGCTTTTTTGTGGCGTAATTAAAAGCATGTCCATGTAGCAATACAAGATCAGGTAAGGTACAAGTACACGTAGAAGCCGGCGGGACATCAGAAATTCACCATTGGTCATACTGCCATAATCCTGCCGCACTAGCTGGGCATTCCTGTCCCATTTTGAGAAAGAGCACCGCGGGGAAGGGGGGGTCCGAGAGTTCGATTCGCGGCAAGAGCATTTCTGATTTTTCACTATCCCCAGTGAGGCCCGCGCCAAGCGTAATCGGCGCCGTCGTGCAAATGTCTAGCGAGCGCCTTTATGTAGTAACGATATTAAAAAAAAATTAATTAAAAAACCAAAAATAAAAAAATAAAGTCTAACTTTTGTCTAAATATGCAAACATTTTGTGCTTTGTTAAAACCCACACTTAAACATATTTATTGAACATTTCTAACATTTATGTTATTGAAAGCCGTCCAACCAGTATAATGGTTAGCGTTGCTGACTACCGTGCCGAAGGGCTCAGGTTCGAATCCGGGAGAAGACATGGATGTTTGTAAATGTATAACGTCCGTGCGGCATGGGGGAAATCTAAATATGCGAAGTGAAAGTCCTCTCGAAAAGTTGCTGGTAGAAGAAAAGGTGTGGGAGACACTCGGACCCGTTCCCCCCCCCCAGGGGGTTCTCCATCAAAACTGGGGGCGAAACTGAGCTAATTCAGGTAAGGTGATGAAGGATGTTGCCAACGACAGGCGTATCTTGCGCTCCTTGCTACGAGGAATTTCGTGGGCTTGGGCTGACTATAGGGCAGACAAGTGAGCATTAGTCAACAGCAAGATGTTATAAAAAAGTAACACTGCAAGCGAGGCGAAATAATATACTAAACGCACTGGATACCAAATATTGCTGAACACTACTTATTATTTTTAAATTCAAAACGAAGTAATATCCATATCTAATAAGTTTGCACTGAATAAATTGTTGTTCTCGGCGTAGTTTACGACAAGGTTCAAACTGTGATTAAAAAAAAAAGGGGGGGGCTGATATCTAGGGATATATCCAAAATTCTTTTCTGCACACCGTTATGTTGTTGACAAACGATACAGAGGCGGGGGTTTCAACCGGCGATGCTATATTTCCTCTAAAAGTTTGCAAAACTGCAGTTCATGCATAAGATCTATAGTGTGTATATTGCTTTGAGTTTTAGCAATTAATGCTTTTGCAGTTTTAGACATAAGATGAGCTGATCTTGTAAATATTGTGAACGAAAATACATGATGCCGATGCGTATGCAAGAGTGAGTACAGGGGGAGCCGTGGACGCGTTTGACAAATTGCTTAGTCCTGATATTTTGTGTTTACTGTTGAAATCGTAGTAATTTGTGCAACATTTATCTTTTCCGTGATTTTTTTTTTTTTTTTTTTTTTTTTTTTTTTTTTTTTTGTGATTGCTTGATGTTATATTTATTCTACATAAAAAAGGTAAGAGCAGTTACATAATATGTTAAACTTGGGTTAGCTTTTTAATTCAGAATTACTCGTAATTAAACATAATTACTCGGAATTTTTTTTTACATGAAGCATTTGTTTATTAAACTAAAAATTGTTATCTTTCGAGAACAAAGAACTGACATACTTACGGAGTACCACAGAATTTAAAATATATCTATTTGAGATTTGAAGTGAAATAAAAATATACAAGGTATTCTGAAATCAAAAATTGCCCATTTTCCGATTTTTAGCTATACGGGAAACCGAAGGAAAATGCTTAATTATTTCATTAGGTAAATTTGATTTATTTACTTTAATAAACAAACGAGTACCACAACCTCCTTGAATTATTTAGTATGGATCTAATAGTTCATATATTTTCCAAGCAATGGTTTAAGATATACTCACTTTTTCAGAAGTAAAGTAAAATATTTCAAACAGTGACTTTCTGAGTGTTTTCAAGAAGCGGTGTACGCAGTTCTTATAATAGTTATTTTCTACTTTTATGTTTACTTCCACTTTTTCTGTTTTCATTTTTCCTCAGATCTCGGAAGAAAAACAGACAAAAAAAAAAAAAAAAAAAAAAAGAAAAAACTGTCTGAGTATTAGAATGTAATGAAGAACAAGAAGGTGAGAGGAAGACTTAATAAGCCAAAACTTTAAAACTACTCAGTTTTTCCCAAACCTAAAGAATACCCAACCTGACGCTACTCGTACTAGTTGTCCATTAACGTCTCAGCTACCACTGAAATTACCAAAAGAACCTAATAATTAGAAAGAGTTGGAAAGTGTTTTCAGCTGGGAATTATTACCTTTAACTTCAATGCCAGCCTGTCGGAAAAAACAGAGGAAATACTAATGAAATCTACAATATCTGCAGTAAATACGCATTTGCCTGTGCCTGATGATTCCGGATTCTGCTTAAGTCCTTTATTGCCATCCCAAGTTCAAGCCTTAATAGAAAATTGTTCTGGATATTACCAAAACTTGGTTTCCAGTTTCAGTTTCCCAAAAGACAAAAAGAGACGTAATTTTTTTAGATATACTTTTCTCGAATCTGGCGAAAGAGTTATCCGATTTCTTAGAATGATTACGAAAGAGTAAACCTATTAATTCGGAATTTCAAATTTAATAAAAAACGAGAGTGGTTCCAGTAACAAATTATTCGAAAGATATAATAATTTTCTAAACCGTATAGAAATGATCACAAAATTTAACACTAGCAATGTCTGTATATGTTAATAAAATTCAAACTAAAAAATATGCTACACTCATTACCTTGGAAATAAAATTCAAAATAAAAGAAATAAGCTTATTAGGGGATAATATAAAAGCAAATTATTGTAAATATAAATAAATATAATATAAAGCAAATTATTCTAAACAATGTCAAACAGCAAAGGATTTTTCTATTTTTTTTTTATTCTACCCCTAATGCGAGCCATCAAGAGCAGATATCAATTTGTATGAGGTACCTTAATTTAGAAAATACAGACATGAGTATTGAAGAAAAGTTTTTAGTATTTTGTGTTACAACAGATACGACCAGTGGAGGACGAACTACATTTTTTTATTAAAAAACCTTAGAGGAGAATGGTTTAAATATTAGTAATTTATGCGGTCAAGAAAACAACAATGGTTAAAACATGAGAAACAGTTTTCGAGTAATTATGCTCAAATCGTTGCTTTTCCGAATTAAAAAGTTAAACTAAGTTTAACATAATATGTAACTGCACTAACCTTTTTTTATGTAGAAAAACAATAACAACAAGTAAATACAAAAAAGGTAAATGTTGCACAAATTACTACTATTGCAAAAGTAGACACAAAATAAGGATTCAGCAATTTGTCGAATGCGTCTACCCTTACATACGCATTGGCATCAAGTATTTTCACCTTCAAATAAGACAGAAGAGAACACCAAAGACGAACTCCTGTCCTAATTATAACTTTCGGTCAAATAAGACAGTGTGCTAGGAGGAAGGGGCACTCAAACCTGATAAGGTCGAGGCTACCTTAACACAATTAAATGCCTCAACTCTTAGAGGCGATCCAAGAGGCCGCAAGCCTATCGGTCGAGCGACTAAGCTGAGTCGACAGGAGTATTTAGAAACTCACATTCCACGTCCCCGTTCTGGAGGGATGGTAAAAACATGTGCCATCAACAAGGGCCTCCCCGGACAGCAGAACGAAGTCACTTAAATACTGTCAGAAGGACCGGGCCGCCAATCCGGCCTGCTGACACTACGTCATGCTATACAGATCTAGGCTTTAGACGGCCCCAGTGGAAAACCAAGGAAGGAAATGAATATGCAGTTTTCAGGCTCCAGGCTTCCACTGGAAACAAGCAGTTTAAAGGCTAGCTGAATTCGCCAATTCCATCGACATGGCTGTTTCGCCACGGACAGCCATGAATATCTGACTATATAGCTCCACCACAACCACGGAACGGACAAGAGAGTACCATGCGGTCCCTGCCGAACCTGAAAAAAAAAACCATCGCCAGCGATGACTTCAGTCTTGTGGAGACTGATTTTAAACACTCGTGGCCTTCCCAGATTTTACCTGAGTCGACCCCGGAGAACGTTGAAATAAGACAAGAATTTTCCTGTTCAGGCAGGCAGCGAGACGAACTGCTTGTTTTAATGATTGAACTGCGCCTTTTTAACTCGGCGCCGTCGTGCGCCGCACGACCTTGCACCTTTTGTCGGCGCGGGCCTGTCTCCAGTTCTAAAATATCAGACTAGCTCTATAGTAACACTTGGCTAAAATGTTGTTACGAGTTCCTTGTACATGAGAACTGGAAACTTTGATTGAGCCAAATAATGGAACTTGTCAACAACATCAGTTTTTTATTTTAAATTGACCCCAAAATGTCAACAACATCAGTTTCTTATTTTAAATTGACCCCAAAATGTCAACAACATCAGTTTCTTATTTCAAATTGACCCCAAAATGTAATGATTGCCCATCGAGTCTTTTAATTTGAGTTTTTGCAATTTGTACCGTTTTTCATTCGAAGCAGTTATGATACTATCCGTGTTAGAACTTGTTTGTATTGACACTACGGTCATCCGCATTATCTGTTGTTTCCTTCACCCGACGACTAAGCGTGATAAATTCTTCTGAATATTCCTCGCATCTTATATTTTCAATTTCTATATCATCTTCAGCGGTTTTCTCCTTACTCAAACTAGTGTCTCCGAATCATGAGATTTCAACTCAACAATTACCATTTTTAACTTCACAATCTTATCTTTTAATGCGACTTTATCCGCCTGATCATCTTTATTGTGTTCTTCGTCTAAATCCTTAGCCATTCTGGTGAAAGCACTATGAGCTGTTGCACATTTTTTCTTAACATATCAGCATTCATTTGTACCTTTAAATACTGACCCACATGAACTCAAAATCTACTCATTTATGAGAATTCCTGACAAATCCTTCAAAAAAAAAAAAAAAAAAAAAAAAAACCCCTCTTTACTCAACAATCACAAATAACTCTACTCAACAATCACAAATAACTCAAGTCAATAAAAATAGGTCATAACATTCATAATACACAAAATAAAATTATTTCAAATATAGTTGCAAACAATTCAACGCATAACTTTTTCACGTCCACATTGCACACGATTTAACGCATAACTTTTCCACGTCTACATTGCATACGATTTAACGCAGAACGTTTCCGCGTCTACATTGCAGACGATTTAACGCAGAATGTTTCCGCATCTGCATTGCAGGCAATTTAATGGAGTTTTCCGCGTCTCCCAAAATGTTCTTATAGTTTGCTAATAATTTCTTTGCACACCTGACTGCAATGGGCTCCGACATAGAATGTGTAGTCAATTACGACAAAATAAAATTATCGTTCTGAAATTTTTGACATTAATACAATTTTATTTACAGTTATGTTTACAAATTAGCCACAGCTACACTGGCACTCTACTTATCTGCATATCGAGAATAAACCTGGAATCATTTCCTAAACCTGAAAGCTTTTGAAGATCGAACATCGCAAACTTAAACACAGGGAACCTTATTTTCTTAACGCAGTTAATTTAAAGAATTCCCTAATAAACGCAATAGATTTCATTGCTGTTGTTTGTTGTTGCTTAAGCTCACTCGTCTGACGTAGTCAGCCCAAGTCCACGAAATTCCTCGTGGCAAGGAGCGTAATAAGCCTTGAGCACCTTTCAGGTAACAGTGCGATTTAGCTCAGTTCTGCCCCAAATTTTGATGGAGAGCACCCAGGGGGTCCGAGGGTCTCCTATCCCTCTCCCTTTCTACCAAACCACATGAGAGGACTTTTGACCTGCCGCATATTTAGATTGCCGCCATGCCGCAGCGACACTGTACATTTACAAACATCTGTACCTTCTTCGGGATTCGAACCCAGGTCCTTCGGCACGGCAATCAGCAACGCTAACCACTATACCGGCTGGGCGTCGGATTTCATTCCTTATGTCACGCAACAAACTTAGAACTGAATTCTATAACGCAGTGTTGAAAAACTAAAATTAACTTATCGAATGAGATAGTTTCAAACCCTGTTAACCTTTTTTCTAATTCGCTAGCGCCTAATTCTGTACTACAGTCGGTGTTGCCAGGTGTACTCTCGCACTTGCGTGGAAGATACATCATCATGTTTCTGTATTCAAACGGGCGGGACTTCAGCAGTTCAATAATAATATCCAAATGATAACATTAAGCGTGATTACATTAAGCGGTGCGTACTGTATTTACTATGCATATGTTGGAAATTATTCAGTTAATACGAAAAGTAAGAAGGTGTTTAGTCAGTGCGAGTAAATGTATTTAACTGGTTTAGCTGGAGATCGGTTTTCTTTGAAACCAATTTTAGAATTATGAATGCTTTAAATATATATATTCTCAGGAATATTGGTCTCTTTTACAGGTATATCTAGGGAAGGTGGTTGCCATGGGGGGTTTCACTTCATAAAGTTTTCAATATTGATACTATAACATTATTCAGGTTTTTCTAATATATCTACTAAATGGCTTATTATACTTTCAGAAAAACTGAAATCTAAAGCTAATATTTCAATAGACCCTAGTGATGGTAGAAATATGTATGGAGTACTTGATGAGACAGGTACACTGAACTATGGAGAAGTCTTCATACAGTATACTAAAGATGTTTCCAAAGGTGAAACTACACAAGATACTGAAATCCGAAAAGGTAATATTTTCGATATACTATAAAGCAGCAATACATTTCTTGTTTCATTTGTTTCCAAAAAAGAGTGTCGCCAACCATTAGAGAGTCAGGAAATATTATTTTTGTTGATCCTAAAATGTTTCAAAAATACTTTTTTTGTATTACTCAAGATATTATTGGCAATAGAAAACAAGTAAACGACTAAATATAAAAATTTACCATTTATTATATAAGCATTAAATAATTATATTATTATTATTATTATTATTATTATTATTATGGATGTTTCTTCTCTGCTTTTCCATTTTGTTCGGAGCATCAGAATCCACATTGGTCACGATAAAGCGTCATTATTTTCGTGTGCTGAAAATTGAGGTCAGTTTTAGAGGGGTAATGCTGAAGATTTTAGGAATTAGTACTTTATGATATTCAAGCGAAATGGACATACTTTTGCACTTCGTGTATCTAAATATAATTGCGAAAATGTGTGTTTTGATTGAGTTTTCAACTGGGAGGCTGCTCCTTTAAGTTGGAACTTGTTATCTTTGGACTACCGGAAGTGCTCATGTTCTGAGACTTCCTGCTAAAGTTACGATTTGAATCTAAATTTTTCTATGTAACTTTGATTGAGATCAAGTAGTTATATTCTTCACCATGGGTAAAAACTATAGCGATTTTCACTCCGTATATATCTGGTTTGACGTCTAGCAGTTAGAAGAAAGCACTGTATGTAGTCCAATAACCGGAATACGCATTATATGCGAAACGGTTTGAAATCAATAAATACGAGATTTTAAATTCATGATATTACCCATGATATTTTGGTTTTTATTTTATTTTAGATTTAAATTTAATTGGTTTAATTTGACGAAAACGGCAAATTAATAATGAATCATTATGAGCTTTGCAAATTGTTATGTTGCATATTAGAACAGAATTGGAAAAAACAAACTTAATGAAGCAAAAGTATTCCATTTTTATGATCACTATTTAGTGCTAAACTTCGATGCATTCTTGCTGTTTCAAATTTAATATATTGCTGAAACGTGTAAAGACTAATTGAAAACCACTTTTCAGAACAGTCTTAGTTTAAAGGATTTTTACAGAACACATTTAATACATTTCGTGACAGTCACTCAGAGGAGATACATTTCATTAAACCTCGGCTTTAAAAGTTAAACAGGAGTAATCAACTATATGTTGTTTCGTTGTAGGTGCTGGTTCGAAAAATGAAATAAGGCATCATATGGAGATGAAATAAATACCTATTGGTATTTAATAAACTTGAAGCCTAATTCGTATGTTCTTTGCCTTTGGTTATGTTGTAATTTGAATTGAATATAATGCTTTTTATCATTTTGGCTTCTTATCATTAATATTATGATTTTTCGCCCAATGTGGGACTCGAACGGTCTATTTGAGATTTAAGAATGCATTTTTGAAGCGGACGCTAACCCTAAATGACGCGCACGCAGTCCATGATGATTAATTCGTGTTGTTAAAAAATTATTCCTCAGTAATGAACGTGATAGGATGATTTATATAAACAATCATACAGATTCACAATATTTATGATTGCTTGCTCATGGAATAGGAGTTAATAAATTAGGTTTAAATCGTTAAATGCCTACGGGTTCGGGTCCCTATTGCTTCAGGATTCATGGTGCCATATATCATCGAACGAGCCACCTTCATCCGCCTCATGCCGGTCAAGAACAGTATGCTCAGCTGTACATTTTAGATTCGGATCAAGCGCTCAGGCAGAGAATGAACATATTTGGAAATGTTGCCTTGAATGCCGAACTGCTGAGACAGTTGGATGCAGTTTTGAGGAACGTTAATCCATACGCTGAAGCCTACAAGATGCTGAAAGAATTCGAAGAAGAAACTCTACGAGAGCAAGGCGCCGAAACTGCTGCGGATATCCGCATGTAGGGGTCAGGTACCCTTTTAGGGTAAAAAAAATCTTTTTTTTATTGTTTTATATTAAAGAGCTAACTAATAGCAACATTTTAAAACAAACCGCATAAAAAAATTTCCACTAGAACGAAAGATATCGAAGAAGAACCGAAGCCCAATTTTCAAAAGCCAGGATCGAGGCGTCTGTTTACCTGTTTTGACAGCTGGATATTTACAGCTGCGCTCGTGAAGAGTGGCCATAAATTCCGTTTATAAAAGCAATCTAACATTTTTTTTCTTGTGATGGCTTGGAAATAGATATATTTAATAATTATTTAATTCTCATTGCTTTTTCTAGAAGAAGAAAGAAATATATTAACTTTAACTTTTACTCATTCATTCAGTTTGTTTTGCTTGCGAATTTTACAACGTGTTCTGTATTCTGTGATAGATTTCTTCTTATATTTCCCTTCATTTAATAATATAATTAAATATTGATATTGAAAAGTCATTCCTAAGATCAATATGAATACGATAGAATGTAGATTGACACCTAAACGATCGTCTGGCAGTAAAATAAAAAGAGAAAATTTACTGGTAATATCCACACGATCCACACCGAAAACATTGCCAGTCCTCTACTGCAGAACTGAAGGTGATGCTTCTGCAAGAAAATAAAACTTTTCTAATAAGCAGTTGGAAAATGAAACTAATGATGATTTTAAAGGTTTTAGGATCTTGGACTTGAATGTAATGGTTTCTTTTTTCGAAAAAGAACTGTGCTGCAAAACATGTGGCAGTGATGTCACTATAAAAGAAGAAGTTGTGTGTGGACTAAGTTCGAAATTTTCTTTAAAATGTGGAAATTGTATAGAACTGCGTACATTTAAGGGGACTCATACACCTTAAAACCCATAAGATGTTCGAATAGGTGACTGTTGCAAGAATTGGGATAACTTATTTATTTTAAAAGCAATTACTACCAACTTTTTACAGCTGACTACATAATATAGCTGCTTTCTGAAATAGTAATCAGAAAGTTTGTGTTGCCACAAATATTTTTATATTTTAATCCGCTTTGTGACAACATTTTTCGTCGTGTTTCCAACTTGCGCGCACAGTTTAAAACATTCTGTTTTATAATTTAATTCCATATTTAATATATAACTTTTATAACACTTGGAAACTACTGTGAACCTAAAATTCTAAAAATTTCATGTTAAATTTTTATTTTATTTTGAGTTTAGTTTATAAAATGTATTTTATTAAAAAAATTTGTAATGTTTTTGTCCATAAAATTTTTCAACATTAAAATATTCATCAGATTGTTGGTTCAGTTAGAAAATAGTGTCCATATAAAGAATTCCATCCAATTTCAAGTATGTACCATTAGCCATTTTTAAAATATCATGCGTGCAAAGTAGAAACATCGTGAAGAAAAAATTGGACGATCCAGATTTGGTTATATCTTCACACATGAACAAACTTTCAATCTTGAACATGTTAGAAGTTCGTCCAATGTGAAAGCACTAAGAACACTTAACGATTCTTGTGAAATCAATATATGAAGTTTAAATTCTTTGGGCATTGTGTCGAAAGCTTATGGTGAGCCTTTTAGGACAGGTTATTTTAAAGCTTTTCCCGGATGATATGAATTTGGTATTTAATAAAAAAACGAAACTTTAAACAGCAGTAAACAGAATTTTTCGAATTCATTAGATTAGAAGTTGAGAGTCGGGAAGCTTCTAATTTAATAATAAACTCAAAGAAAAGGGACACAAGACTACGGTGTTAAGTAGAATAAAAATAATTAATTAAAAGGGGCAAACGTTTCTATTGCTTCGGCGTTAGCTGCAGTGACTAGGCTGTACTGTTTCAATTGTAATAAAAATACACAAATGTGAGAAAATGAACAAAAAAGAGCAATATTAAAAAACAGGCATGTTGTTACAGATATTTTAAGAAAGGACATGTATCGTCTAGATAGATGTAAAATGAAACTTCAACCTTGTCAGTTGCGTAATGATTGAAATCATAATAAATTATTCCTGAATCTGAAACCCTTTCAGATATTAAACAGAAAGTAGTTGCAGTATCGGATTCTAAGCAGAATGTACGAGTGGCATCCCTTTCATTTAACTCGTGGTCCCTACCATTTAACCGATTGGGTGCAATGAAATTGAAAAGTTAAAGAAATTTGAAATTTCTCGCGAATATTTCCCCGGAAAATTGAATCAAAATATAGATACCGAATTGCATTTTTTCTGTGATGCATCTATTAAAAATTAAAGCGTACGGTGCAGTCGCATATTTTAGATCGGTTGAGGAAGGGCAAGTAGCGTTCATTGTGGCAAAATATAGAATTGCACCAGTAAAACAAAAACTCACACTTCCAAGGCTAGAGCTGTTAGGAGCATTAACATCGGCAAGACTTTATAAAAATTTAAAAGAACTGTTTTCAGTTCATAAAGAAAATATCTATCTGTGGACTGATAGTATGATAGTGGTTCACTGGATCCATAGTGCTCCTGAACGTTGGAAAATGTTTGTAAAAAATCGAGTATCGGAAATACAATCATTAACTTGCCCAAGTAACTAGAGACATGGTAGTGGACAGTCCAAACCAGCAGACATTTTATCTCGAAGATGTTCAGCTGAATATTTGTTGTCTTCAAAATTATGGCTGTCTGGGCGAGACTGATTAGTTGAATTAGTGACTGTTTGGCCTAGTACATTTACTGCGACAGCAGAGTGTTCTAATGCTGAATTAGAGCAGAAAAAGTGTATAAATGATACCACAACACTACCGTGTATTGTAGAAAAATGTAATCCTCCGTTGAATCTTGGCAAATATAGTAAATTAATTAGAGCTATTAGAGTGACTGCATGGATCTTTCGATTTATTCACAATTTGAAAAATAAAACTGACAAGAAAACAGAACCCTTGATTGCAGAACTCCTTGCAGCAGAATTGTATCTGATAAAAGAAGTTCAATATGAACATTTTCTTGGTGAAATTAATAGTGTAAAGTTTGGACAGTTGAAAAATTCTAAAACTTATGAACTGAATCCCTTTCTAAGTGAGGAAGGATTTTTGTTAGTAGGAGGATGACTACAAAAATGAACTTAGAAAATTTCATGAACAGCATCCTATAATTATTCCTTCAAAAACTCATTTCACAGATCTTCTGGTACGTGATGCACATGAACGAGTTCTTCATACAGGCAGCTAAACACTCTCATGTTCCTCCATGAAAAATACTGGATAATTAGATCTAGATAAAATGTGAAACAGGTTATAAGAAACTATGTTTTGTGTCACCGTTATAACTCCCGACCGATGCAACAAGTCATAGCATCATTACCTTCATATAGAATTGAAAATCCTTTTCATGTTCCTTTTCATGTTATAGGACTGGATTATGAAGGTCCTTTTCATGTTATAGGATCCTTTTCATGTTATAGGACTGGATTATGAAGGTCCACATTTCGTTAAAAATGAAGATACGAAGTATTATATTCTATTATTTACCTTGCAGTAACTAGAGACATTCATCTTGAACTAACAAAAAATCTCACAACTAAACCTTTCCTACTTGCTTTTCGTTGATTTATATCTAGAAGAGTGTTGCCCTCTTCAATATACTCAGATAATGCGTGTACATTCAAGGCAGCTGACGCGGAGCTGAGAAAGATGTGGCAAGTATTAAGCCATTCCGATGTAAAGAATTATTATGCCGCAAATGGCATTCAGTGGAGGTACATCATCGAAAGAAGAGCCTGGTGGAGTGGAGTTTACGAAAAACTAATGCGGTCCGTCAAAACAAGAAAAAATCTTGGTAGAACATGACTGCTACCCGAAGAATTGAAAACTGTACTGACTGAAATTGATGCGGTGACACATCGTCGACCCTTGACTTACATCCAAGATAATGAGCCCCAAGTTCTGTCACCTAGTCATTGTCTGCCAGGACAAAAACTTGTGAATTTGCCTCCTGTCAAATACACTGATGAAGTGTGCAGCACTAAAGAAATTCTTTTAAAAGCGCATCTACGTCGTGAAAAACTATCAAATAACTTTTGGAAAATCTTCTATAAAGATTATTTGGTGAATCTGAAATCTGAAAATTATGTGAACAATGACCGTGCAAAACTGGAATTGAACATGAACGATATCGTGATAATACATGATGAACATTTACCATGTAACATGTGGATGGAAATTGGGGAAAAGTTCTGAAAATTTTTACTGATAGAGATGGACTAATTCGCAATTGTAAAATAAAGACTGAAAAAGGTATTATAAAGAGATCTTTACAGTTATTAGTTAAATTAGAGTGACAAAAGTATTAATATTGTGTGATAGTATATTACTTATTGAATACATAATTTTAATGTGGCTTAGTGTGTATGTGTATATTTAATATTTAAAGTTGAAATGTATACATAGAAATAGTATGTATAGAGAAAATTTTAAGGTTGTAGAAATGTATAACTATGTTTAAAGTTTAGTTTTGAAAAAAAAAAAAAAAAAGTTTTAGGTAAAAAATTCTAGCATTTTAGTTAGATTATTGAAATGTTACTTGTTTAATGTTATCGTGAGTTATAGAAATAGTTGATTAAAATTCCTGATGCTTGAACTGAAATGTTATGGCAATAATCTTTGATAAATGTAAGTTCCTTGATAATCCTGAAACATATGCTTAGTTTTACATATTCTTGATGATATGTGACATTTTCCTGATTACAAATACTTGAATTTGTATTGAAATGAATAATGATTCTTGAAAATAATTCTTGAAGATGTTCATGTACATCTTCCAGAATGGCATGGTAACATTAATTGTTCTGGAACTACTATTCAGCCGAGCTCAGTGTGTAAGAAATTTTATCCGGAAATCTATTTTAATCGCCAGTAGAGGGCGTAAAGGCTTCATGATGCATATTTCTTTTTCTTGGATCTGGCAACGCCTGTAGAATACCTATAGGCATTAAATAAAGCTTGAAGCCTGATTCGATTGTATAACGTGTTCTGTTAGAACATGCGTGTCAGGTAAAACAGCTAGATGCTTCGTCGAGTTAAGTTCGGAAGCTATAGGTACAAATCATATAACAAAGGAAATAAGGCAATCGGGGACTTTGATATCCTGTGTAAAAATAATCAAGCAGTGAGAAAAATATGCATCGGAGAACATGCTACCGGGTTAAGTGTAAACTGCACAAATATGAAGTGCTTTAGGCCAGAAATGTGGCGTTTAAATAGGCGAAAGTAGCTAAATAAAAACAGAAACTGCAGCGTCATCTGTCCAGCAAAATAGCAGTTAGAAAGAAACATTGTGAGATAAGGATTTTAAAAAAATTCGGAAAAAATGGATTGTATTTGAAATCATTGGCTTAAGAGTTTTGTTAATGTTTGAAGGCTTCAAAAAATTCTAATTCGCTAACTACTTTGACAATTTTAATGGAATTACAATCAAACTGACGAGTAAGTGTCGGCGAGAGAAGATTTATTTATTTCTGCGTTATTTTAATTCAATATTCATCGGAAGTTTTTGTTTGGCTGATGTTACCTTACGTTATTCAGAAATTAAAAATCTTACAGTGTTTTAAGGCCTGAAGAACGAATCTTAAGAAAGAAAACAGCTTGCTAATTGAGTTTAGGAAGAAAGCGGGCAGTTTTCTCAATCCGAGCAAATTAATAACAAAGGATAGATTGGAAGAAATAATAAGATTATTGTTGCCGTTTTTAATGAAAGAGCTTTCTGTAAAAAATAAATAAATTAAATACATTAAATTATTGATCGTAGGAGATTATTTTTCATTGGCAAAGTGTATGCTTATAAATCATTAAACCCATTTAAACTTTTCAAATTACAGGGGAAGTCGTTGTGACAAAAAATCCGTGCCATTTACCAGGGGATATAAGAAAGTTCATCGCTGTTGATGTGCCTCAGTTGCATCATATTGTAGACTGCATAGTTTTTCCTAGTAGAGGACCTAGACCTCATCCAAATGAAATGGCTGGTATGTATTGCATTTTTTTTTAAATTTGTGTATTATTTTACGTAAGATCTGCATTTCTACAACATTATCCTAAAACAAAGTACATATCGCAAAAGTTTGAATTAAATATGAAAAAATTAAAGACCAGAAAGTAACTTGAGTATAAATGGCAGAGAAATAACTTAGTGTATAACGTAAAGCCAGATAAAAGCCGAAATTAAAAATGTATCGATTTCGAGAGCGATCTGTTATAAACCATAGAGCCATTACATTATGACCACCCCTCACTGAGCGCATTCAGTTCGACGGGACACAAAAAAACGGCGCACACCTAGCTGATGCTGGAGTATATAAAGTGCCCATGCATTGTTTTATTGACTTAGAATATTTAGTGAGATAATGGGAAAATCAGCTGATTTATCAGACTTCGATTTAGCGAAATAATGGGAAAGTCAGCTGATTTATCAGACTTCTATAAAGTTCAAATCATTATGGCTTGACGTCTGGGAACATTGATTTCAGAAACCGCGCACTTGGTGTTCACGTGCAGCCATTTGCGAGTACTCATCGAAAATGATGTATGGATGGTGAAATGTCAAGTCGCTGGCCATTGGTTTGCCGACCACGGCGCATTGATTCTAAAGGAGATTAGAAACAGTTATTCACTGTTCTCCATGACCAAAGGGCTGCAACGGCCAAAATTACTAACAGCTACAACGGTGGTAACTCAGACAGTGCATCTCAACATCCACTGCAACTTACGCTGCTGTGTATGCACCTACGCAGCTGCTGCAGTGAACCAAGGAACATGGGCATTCGACCGCAGAAGTAAAGCAGAAATTCGCCTGATCCTACGGATCACGTTGCCTTGTCAATCACATTGACGGGCGACTGCGAATAAACCGATCTCAACGGAAATCCTGATACTTGGGTGCACAGTTGGCCGGATGCAAGGCGGTGGTATGATGGTGTGCGGAAGTTTTCATGGGGCGCATTGGAATTCATCATCCCCATAGCACAAACCTTGACGTATGTACGCTATGTGAACATCATTGCGGACCAGGTGCACCCCTTCATGGCAAGAATGTTTCCTTCGGGTGATCGCGTTTACCAACAAGATAATGTTATAAGGCCCGGATATCATAAGTCCGAATGTCCATGTCATAAGGGCCGAATTATCAGGGAGCGATTCGAAGAACATTCTGGTGAATTTCAAGTCATGTCCTCTGGATTCACCTTGCATGAAACCAATCGAACGTTTGTCGTTCCACTTGGAAAACCGAATTCGTGCTGCAACGCTACTACCTCGCAATATGCAGGAATTGCATGGCGGATTTGAGGGTGAAATGTTAAACAGGTGGTTATAAGGTAATGGTTCCTCAGTGTATGTTCCTTCTTCAGAAGCAAAAATATTTTTGCTCAAAAAATATGCAGGCGAGGCGAGCTTTTTATCAAAATTGATAGAATTTTATTGCTAACCTAAGACTGCTTACTTTTTTTGCTTAATTTTAATTCTTACAAGTTCTGAATGTAAAAATATACATATATTACTTATAAAGTAAGTGATTGATAACAGGGACGTTTTAGAAAATCTATGCATAATAAAAATGTATAAACATTAGCTAAAATGATGACTAATTTTACATGCGGAAGAAACTATTCGTAACTAAAAAATAGTGATTTTTTTCAGGAAGGAAATAACACATTGATGTTAAAAATATAATATGAAAGAATTTACGCTAGACTGTGCTATTATTAATCTCGTTTCTTTGATAATTGTTTCAGATAATAGTCTATTAAACTTAAGTCTACCATCATTATGATTGTGTAGGGGAATAATCCTACATTAATTTTAATAGCGTTGGAAGTGAAATTAACTTGTTAGAATAGTAGCTTGTAATTAAAAAATTTTTTATAGAAATGGGATTACTATTTGCACTAAAGTATCTCATATATGAATCCTTATCCTTTATTTTTGGCCATGTTGTTAATATCCCAAGAAACTAAAGAAAGAGGAAAAGAAAACTAAAGAAAAGGGGACCATAATAAAAATATGAAAGCACTGTTGCGAAAGAGTTGTAAGTAAAAAAATATTTCATATTGTTGCGAGCAATATGTTCATGGATATCTATTTAAATAATCTCTCTAGATGGGCTGGGAATCTGTCATTTTATTGTAATTAATAATAATAATAATACATAGAAAGATTAATAGCTGTATAATAACTCATTGAGAATTCAGATATTAGGCAAATCTTGTTTTAACACTTGAGAAATACCGTAAATTACCGGAATTACTAGCATAGTAAACTTAGAAACGCAATTCAGCTAACTCACGGTGAACTGTAGTCTTTCTGAAATCACTCAAAACTCACTTAACTGATCTATCCTGGCTGTCAGAGGCTTGTATATTGTGTTGCACGGGTTTCTAGAGCCTTCGAGAAAAATAACTTCTACGGCATCGAAAATGCGTTTCTTTAAAACTTCCAGAAAATCGCAAGTTGGCAAGAAAATGCGAAATGTCACCAACTTTTTCAGAAGGTATTCTGCTCATGTCCTGGTTGGATTATTTTCACAGTTTAAATTATCTTGGATTCAGAATAATAAACTATACGATTCAGTACTAGAATTAAGCACTTATATATATAACATGTATGAGCCACAAGTTCGATTACACACAAAACACGGTAACATATTTAACATTATTGCAAAAAATTTTTAAATAAATTAAAAAAAGTACATTATATTATTTACACAAAAGAACAGTGCAGATAGATAGATTTAAATATTTGCAGGAATTTACAATAATATATCAAATTTATCTGCCATCACTACACACAGTGTGGTTTCGCTTTTGAGTTGAAGACGCATTTCAGAATTTGGCTGAGCAATTGAGGCATGACTGATTTCAAACAGCTGAAGGATCTAATAAATATGAATAAGTAAGTTTTTAATAATGATGTGAGCGATCATTTATTAGACAAATAGACGAAAATTATATTGGCATCATATAAAGAATGCTAAGAAGAATTCCAAATAAGCCTCGTATTGTTGACTGCTAGATCGGGCAGAGTATTACCGTTTACCCTAAACTATGGCCGTATGTGGCTGTACTTTGAACGTTGGACATGGAAAAGAAATGGTACGACATTGTCATTTTAAACGATTCTGCCTACAGCAAGTACAACGATTGCATCCAAATCTGGTGGCAATGTGGTAACAGATATTATGATCCTTGCATTATGCATTGTCTTACTAGTCCGTCACCTGGTGTAATGATTTTTGGTTAATGTATCTTTATTATTACATTATTTTTTTCTTAGGAATCTCTTGCTTTGGGGAAATTTCTTCGGTGACCAGTTTATGCCTGGTCACCTTGTTTCGCACTCATATACCTGACCTTGTTCATTGTCGCCCGGGGTTGACCATTGGAGGCTTGCGCCTCCGTGGATCGCCTTTAGAGGTTGAGGCGTCACTATATTAGGGGCTGTTCTGCAGCATAGGTCAGGAAGTCTCTACCTTCTTGTGCACTACTTTCCTTCTTCCTTTCCGAATAATTTCATGTATATGAATCGCGATAAACTGCAACTATATTGCTGTGGATGATGTTGAATCACATATACGTGCTTATGAGTCGTGAACTTAAAAATAAAAGAAATATGATAAATACTAGTTTATAGGTCTTTTAACAGATTTCATAAGGAGGTTAACTTAATTTTTATTTCTTGAAATACAGTATTTGTTAAATGTTATGCAAAAGCATTTCATCCAGAGTAAAAATAAATTATATAATTGTATAATAATCTTTATGCTTATTACATTTCATTTTCTATAATCTGAAAAACTGTATTATTATCTTAATATTTATTCGATGTATAGGTTCAGATTTAGACGGAGATGAGTATGCAGTCATGTGGTCTCCAGATTTGATTTTTCATCGTTCAAATGCAGAACCTGGAAATTTTAGAAGTACTCCAGAAGCAGCCGTTTCTACAATAAGGGTGAATAATTTATTAAATATATATTTTAACATAGTTTGATATTTTATATAAAAATATTCATTTCTTGTTTTATAAATATGAAATTTTATTATAAAATTAAGTGTAGACACAATAATAGTTTGGACTTTTTTGAAAGTAAAAGTAATAACATTCTTCCTTTGCAAATACTATTTAACAGCTTTTTAATGTACACAAATTCTACTAATCAGTTTTTAGTTTGTAAACTACTGATGTTTAAAATTTCGTGAATTGCATCAAACAAATATTTTGGCAAGTTTATGCGACAATAACGAGTTTAGAAAATTGGATCTTAGATTGGCTTCCCTATCTATACCAGTATGAATCTGAATCAATTTATGAGCAGTTGGTTAGCATGAAAAACGACTTAAGTCCTTTTTATACGTACGATGTTACTGTAGCGTAATCAAGACGGTATCCTTCGATAACATCGCGGACGAAGACGTCGCGGAGAAAACAATGCAAGGCGAAAACGTCGTGCTACAAAACATCATGGGAGAAAACATCGCAAAGAGAAAACATCGTGGTACAAAACATCGTCGTCGAAAATAAAGCGATTCAAAAACTTTGCAGTTTAAAAACATCGTCGTCGAAAATATCGTGGTAAAAAATAAAGTATCTACAAAGCATCGCATGACGATAACATCCCAGACATGCTTTTTTCAGGCTTTAATAACTGTAAATGGATATTCTCATGATTTGTGAGCGCAAGATGTAAAGAAGGATAATTTTTACTTTCATATTTTTTATTAAATATAAAATAGAATTTTAAACCAACATAGTTAACTAACAAAGACTAGAATTTTAAACCAACATAGTTAACTAACAAAGACCATTAATAAATCATTTTTATAAAGTTTTTACTGGTAATTTTTCATAAAAAGTATAAACTATTAAGTTGCATTTAATTTTCTATGCTTAAGTTTCCTTCTTACTTTTTCAGCAAAAATTTATTAGTTAATAAAAAATATGAAAGTAAAAATTATCCTTCTTTACATCTTGCGCTCACAAACCATTATGGGAATATCCATTTACAGTTATTAAAGCCGGAAAAAAGCATGTCTGTGATGTTATCGTCATGTGATGATTTGTAGATACTTTATTTTTTACCACGATATTTTCGACGACGATGTTTTTAAACTGCGAAGTTTTTGAACTGCCTTATTTTCAACGACGATGTTTTAGAACTGCGATGTTTTCTCCCACGATGTTTTGTAGCACGACGTTTTCGCCTTGCGTTGTTTTCTCCGCGATGTTTTTGCCACGATGTTTTCGGCTGTAACCAATCAAGACTTATTTCAGCTAAGAAAAGATTTCTAATCTTTTTAAAGCTTAAACTGATAACAATCCAGCTTTTTCAAAACTGAATCTCATTTTTAGTAATTAGTTAACAAATTCGTATCACGTTCTTAATGCATTCACATATGCTTTGTGATGTATGTTCTTCAGCTGTTGTCTTTTGCAATTTGTTTCTTTGAAGTTGCCAGCTATATTTTGTTCTGAAAAAAAAAAAAATCAAAACGGAAAAAATTATTTTAGATATTAAGCACATGCATGGAATAATCATACGATCAGCCGGTGTAGACAAGAGATAAGCTAATACGTGAAAATTTCAACACCATAAAGGAAGGGCAAATTAAACCAAACTTACAGGAAACTTAAAGTAAGGTAAGACATGCAAATGATTAAAATTACAAAGCGATTGCATGGAATGAGAACCAGCCCCTTGATCGCATGCGTGGAATGAGAACCAGCCCCTTGATCCATGTATATAAAGGACTGTAAATTTGCGTTGAAGTCTCATAATCTTCTTCTGTCTGCGGTGAGGAATTAGTGGTCAATAAATATGCCTCGTCAACAGCAGGGGTTGCCATACCGGCAGCTAACAGGGTTCGAGCGAGGCCTCATCGTCGGTATACGAGAGGGTTAACTTTCGAGCAATCGCATCCCGCACTCAGCATAGGTATAGTGTGGTGTATTTAATTATGGCAAAGCACACTAGGGCTATCTGCCTAAGGGAAGGGATGCCTTTCGTGGAGGACTTTCTAAGGGAAACTGGCTCGTATACACGTTACACATGGGGAAAACCACAAAAACGCCCATGCAGCCAGCCCGTTCGTGGGATTCGAACCTCGGACCGAACTACCAGTGTTCAGCGACTTTACCGCTCGGCCGCTGGTGGGCGCACTCAGCATAATGCCACAATAGTGATGCGTGTTTGAAAGAATGGTCAGAAAAGAACCAAACTAGGCGAAATCTTGTTCTGCAGTTACGCTCCTATGTTGTAACGTTGCAGCTTGCCGCGTCTGCGTTTCTTCGGTACTTTCTGACCCGCACAGGCATCTCAAGCTCGGCATCACTTTTGCACGTCATCCCTTTCCATTACTCCAATGTAAGCGCTCTCGAACTCTCTGCAAAGTCTTCATTATTCCGAAGTGGCCTCTTGTAAGGCTACTATGTAGTTCTGTAAGTACATCCGCGATCCGAGATTTTGGAGGTATCAGCTGCCATCGGAAAGTCTTTCCATCATCCGATTCGAATTTGCGGTACAAAACGCCGTTTCGAGTATGGAGTGAGTCCCAGAGAACCCAGTATTGTTTTGTCGTCGGTACTACAGATCGAAGTGTCTTGTCAGGTAAGTTTTCTGTTAGAGGACTCCATTAAATCAATTATGGGTTTAATATCGACGTCTTCCAGCTGGTCTTTTCTGACATCTTTGTCACTTCGTCTCGATCAGCCGATGTTGATGTTGTAATATGTCGTGCGAATGGAGTATGCAGCTCGTATTTCGCTTCGACCTTGAAATAATGTAGGCAGGTTTCTGGACAAGGTCTTTTAGACAGGGCATCGGCACTTTCATGTGACGATCTCTTGCGATGATGAACAGTTTTTTTCTCGGCTGAATGCAGTTCGTTATTTTTAAAATTCCAAGAAAAATTGTATTTTCACAGAAATTCCAATCTCAGTATAAAAGAATTTGGTTCATGCCATGCGAGAGAGGCGGCACTTCCAAATTGATGTTTACGTTTAACTTTCCATCTATGTCGATTTTATCACCAGACGCAGTCTGTAGGGTAACATAAGAGGGCGTCCAAATGAGTTCTTCTTTAATCTGTTGAGCTAAATCTTTTCAAATGATGGTAACATTCACTCCTGTATCGATCACAATGTTGCAAGGATATGTCCCATGATGAAGAGTCCATTATTGCGGCCACTCACTGCAGAAATCTGAAGCGCTTTGAAATGGGGCTTTTCATTATCCTACAAAATTTCTCTCTGCGATATGGTCATTAATTTGTTTCCTGCGTTGTTGTTGGGGAATGGTCTTATTTTCCGTGTCCTGGGCTGTTCTGAAATTCTTCCGTACGTGTCTTTCAGCTCCCCAGTTCGAGCATCTCAAGGCGTTGACTTCCCTGTTTCAGTCGTCTGTCTTATTTTCTGTTCTTTCGAACATGGCCTTTAGTACCACATTTCCAGCAATTAAGAGTTAGTTTCTTCTCACTTCTATTCTGTATCAAAGCATCAACTTGTCTAGTTAAATCATCTAGGCGAGCAGCCATTTGATCCACCGGTTCTTGGAGTTGCGCAACTGTGGGTGGGTGGCGGTTTCTACGAGTTGCTTGCTGGGCCTCATCGAATTTCATGGTGTACACTAGAGCGCTATTCAGATCCTTCATATCCGCCATTCGTAGAGCTTTCTGTATCTCAGGATCCCGGATGCCGTCGGTAAAGCACTACAATGAGAGGATTTCCCTCGTTTCTGTCGGGCACTTCGAAAAGGCGAGGTGGGACAGCTTTTCAACATCTGTGGCGAGCTTCTGGAGTATTTCCGTTGGCTTCTGTTGAAGGGATCTCAATTGAAGCCTGCTGTAGTCTTTTAAACACTTCTTTCCAAACCAACGCACCGGACAAAACTTCGAAATCTAGCCTTTTGTTTTCGGGAAGAGTCTGAATCCGCTGCGTCTGCTTTTAGAGAAGAAGCGAGATGACAGACATTATCTTGGGGATCCCATCCATTCGCTTCCGCCACTATAGAAAATTGTGTCTCATACACTTGCCAAGAGGTCATATGTGGATAACTTCAGGGAGGGACGAGCAGGAGGCATGGGTAAAAACTTAAAACCATGAGAACTGCTCTACGCCGTCACTGCGAATTTATTTAAGGTATCAACTTCTTTGGCGACTGCAGAAACCCTGTTATCAATTTGTTGTTCCACGGCAGAAACTCTTTCTTCTATTTGCTCTTTGACTAAAGAAGCTTATTCTTCAATTTGTCCAACTGTATTTTCGATCACATCTATTGTGTTTTCCATATCCTCAAATTTTCTTCTATTATACAGGTAATTTCTCCTTTAATTTCTTCTTGACTTGCTTTAATCTGTGCTTGAACGGCTTCCATCTCTGCTTTAACTGATTCTTGACCAGTTTCCATATTTTCTGGAATGGTTTCCATCTCCTCTTTAACTGATCCTTGACTAGCTTTCATCTCTCCTTTAACGAAGTTGACGGCTCCTTCCATCTTTTCTTGGAATGCAGAAAAAGAAGTGTTTTCCCATCGCTCTTGTTATTGGCATTCAATCCCACTTCTGACACCAAAGTGTTGCGTGCGTACAGTTTCGTAATAGATTGAATGCACAGGCCCGATAAAAGTTTAATAAAATTGAATGCACAAGTCCGATAAAAGTTTAATAAAATATATTCTTATCACAAGAGATATAACAGAATTTGGAATATTCCTCAGAGATATTGTACAAATATCACAATATCAAGCAGTATAATCAGTAGCTATACTTTAAACTACAAAAGCGTTAAATAGAACGCAGTCCTCAGTGCAGAGAAAGCTAATTCGATCAACAATAAGTTACAGCAGCTAAGTGAACAACTGAGCTGAGATGTTCTCTCTCTTGCTTTGTATACCTCTTTAAAGCACGATAGTTCTTGCAATATCTGGAAAGCAAAAATAGTAGAATTACGGTTACAGCTAACATAGTAGTCAATTGCATTTATTGAAATTAAATATAAATTACCGAGGTAAACTTTTATTTAATGTTAAATGCACATGCTCCTGTATTTTTACTGTTCCGGAGTAGCTTGCTCTTAAAATACGTCTCGTCCTGCATAGCACGGGAAATAAAACAATGGTAAAAGTTTACAATTGGGCACACCTTGTTGTTTGGCCATTCTTTTTTGACTCCAAGATCAGCGCCAGGAAGGTACAATTTCAAGATGGCCGCTACACAAAACCGAAATAAGAAGTCAATGAATTACACAATGTGTCCAAGTACACATCGATCAATTTTCACTTAAAAAAGCATCAAAGAATTGCACAAACTAGGCATTGCGCACTGCCTTAACTTTGTCCATGTACACATCAATCTGTTTTCATTAAAAAAATATCAGGATGCCAATCAAATATCAGGAGTTATCAGGAATTTCAGAAGTCAGTGATAAAAAAATATCAGGAGTTACGTCGTGGTAACCAGAAATGACGTTCCATCGCCAAAATTTAAGGTGCTACTTTGGTAGACGGTTGCACGGATTTTTGGCGATTTACATTGGCACAATATTTGGCGCGGTTTTTACAGTTGTCAGCCATCTTGAAAAATGCTGTTTTTACGTAGTTCACGCATAGTAAAGTATTCGAAACTTTAAAAAAAAATTAATATCGTTAAAAGTAATGGATTAATTTTTTGTTGAAAACGTTGTTTTCTAAGATGGCTGGCAAATGTAAATAAATACATTTACTAAGAGTATAAAATGCTAAAGTAAGGTTAAATTATTACTTTCATATAATAGAATAAAAACACCGCTATAAAAACATTGCACCAACATTTAATTGGAATAAAATATTACTTAAATTGAATATTGAATTAAAAACATCATACCAACGTTTAAAAGGAATAAAATTTTTCAATTACTTAAATTCAAATCCTTTAAAATAAGTTTTATAGGATATAATTATTTAACATTAAAACATATGTGGCAAGAAATATCTCAGGAATTTTGGAAAACAGTGTATTAATTTTTTAATAAAAATTGGAAGTATACAATTATAAAGTAAAAGAAAAATATGTACTTACATTTTTTTAAAGTTTTTTACCTCTTGTATATTGATAAGTTCCAGGGAAAAAAAAAAAAAAAAAAAAAAAGATCTTCATCTGTGATCCACATCTCTTGCACTTCATTGAAGAAGCAATTAACGAGGTTTCCTCCAAAAATTAAAAATAAATTTCCTCTGACCCTTGTAACAATAAATAAATCTTTGATTAGGAAAGCCAGGTTGGCCAAAATAAGGTCTCAAACAACAATTTTTTTATTCCGATACCAATAATTCTTGGTAATTACCAATAACAACATTCATCTTCGAAACGGACAAATCCATTCGCTTTGAAGTCTAAGGAATTCGAAGAGATGAATAAAAAAATTTTAAAATGGCACGGTAATGCACAATATTCAGTAACCAATCAGGGAGCTGATTACATCACGCATAGAATTAAAATTATTTAAATAATCATTCATAATAAAATCATATTTTAAAAAAATAGAAAATTAAATTGTATTTTAATATTTAATAGCCATAAATAATGTTTAAAACATTAGATTAAATTTATAGATATTAAAAACCAATTACTTTTAAAATAAGAATGTGACTTCATTCATTACATCATCCACAACATAAATTTCCGTAAAATATCATAATAAAATTTTTATTTCAAATATAAATTCAAAATTAAATTCATTTTTATTATTTAGAAGTCATAAATAATATTTAAAATACGGAATTTATGCATAATAAAACGCATTATTCTTTAAACAAAATGCCAACAAAGTATCGGTTACCATAAATAACTTGTCCAGCAATGGGTTTACCATAAGTCGTATAGCTCGCCAAAAAAAATCGCCAAAATCCGTGCAACCGTCTACCAAAGTAGCACCAAATTTAACAAAATTTGTTGCTATTCGAAGCGGCACCCAATTCTACACTAGAGCAAAAACAATTTGAATTATAATTTTACTCAGAATATCTATCTAAATAGAAAATTCGTAACAATACTAACGTACAAAGAATATTATTGTATATAATCAATGTTTTTTTCCTAGGTGGAGGACATGATTGAATTTTTGGGGACGTATATTAAGAATGATCAAGTTGGAACGATAGCTAATGCACACCTGGCTCATGCTGATTATGGAAATATTTTTTCAAATATCTGTATCAAAATTGCAAACAAAGTTCATATAGCAGTGGATTTCGCAAAACATGGAGAAAGCACACATTTGGATCCGAGTGAGAGACCAGTGCGATTTCCAGACTTTATGGAAAAATATCATAAGGACACATATAAGTCAACCAAAGCACTTGGAAAAATGTATAGGATTTGCAAAGACTTAGAATCAGAAAATGAAAATGCAAGCATTGATTACCATGGCATACAAGTAAGTTAACAATAGTAACTAAAATGCATTGTTGTCTGTAACAATTCAGTTCTTGTTGCAGTTCCAAAATTTGATTCACAATATGTGTATGTAAATTTTAAATATTTAATTTTTTTGTCTGTTTACATCATGGTTATCCAGCTTTGAAGCAGCTTTCGGATAGTATTTACAAATATAAAGTATGCAAGGACCGCACTACGCGACAAATGTACAGAATTTAATGTTTGCTAACAATCACAATGTAACTTATCGTACTACTACATCTGATAAAACTACTCTTTAATCCAAAAAATATTTATTAGGAAAAATATATGAATGTAATATTTTAACATAGATTCTGTACCATTTTTTAAAACGCCAGTGTGTTTTTGACAGCTGGCTGTGTAAGTGCGTTATTGATTTCAAAGAATATATTCAAGGTATTGAAATTTTTTGCTTCGTATTTGGTTCATATAGGAAAAATTTTGTTAGTAAATATATACATGTTTAAAAAATAAATATCGGGAAATGTTCATGGAAAGCTGAAAGTTTTCATTTAGTAAGGGCTGTGATGACTTCATGGTTTAATAAGGCACCATTTAGCAAGACGAAACAAACATTTATTAAATATATAATTCAAAGCATAATATAATAGTTACTCAGAGCAGTACGTCGCTCCTACCGCATAGTACAATCTACTACCTTCCTCTTCCGAGGCTAACATGCAACTCCTAATAAATACATTAACCCTTCTCGAAGAAGAGCTACCTGCGCCAAGCATGCTCTGTTGATCGCCAAACAGTCGCCAGATATCACACCCCCGTCGTAAGATTGTTGTTGATATTATTTACAAATCAATCAGCAATCTGGAAACTAAAATCTAGCAACTGTTTGCGATCAACGTGAAAAAGAAAAAAAAAAACTACATATACTTTTATACATTCTATCCTAATTTTCAAATCTCAATTACTATAGACATACCTCAATTTACTACATAAACATAGATAACACATTTTTATATATAAACATAGATAAATCATTTTTAACTTCACTTGTTCCGAACCTTATTATTATTGTAACAATTTATCAATTCTTAATTCAAAGAAACCAAGTTGATATTTTCTTTTATAAACATGTTAAAATATACCCTAGTATTATTCCAATGATGACAGTAAAATTATTAAGTTTCTTATATATATATAAAATTATATTCTTAACATTCCTTTTAATTAATGATGCTGCAGCATGATTTAAATCCTTGGGAGACAAATATCTAAATTTACCACTTACCTCGAATATTTGTTATCCAATAATTTCTCTATCTATTTCAAATTACATAAACATCTTATTTGCACAAAATTGTAAAATGATTATGAAAAGCAAAGAAAACTATCTAATTATTAACTATACAAAATGTTCGTGAAGATGAACAGTAAATTAATGTTCAAAGTTCACAAGTGGGAAGTCTGGATAATGCATCCGCGTTTGACAGTTTTTTTTCCAGGGCAATGTTCTATTTCGAGATTATATTTCTGCAAAGCTATGGCCCATCGTTGTAATTTGGACGATTGCGGAGCATTTCTCACTATAAAGGCTAGAGGATTATGATCAGTCACAATTTTCACCGATGAACCGAATATCCAAGGTTCAAACTTCTTCAATGCCCATACTATAGCATAAGCTTCACGCTCTATAGTCGGCCAGCTCTGTTGAGGTTTCGATAATTTCTTGCTCGCGTAGCAGATGGGAAATTGCTTCTCTCCCCTTTGCTGTGACAAACATGCACCTATTCCGATTTGGGATGCATCAGAATGAATGACAAACGGATCCTGCAGTGTTGGGGTGATCAGCTCCGTTGACATCGCTAATCGTTCCTTCAGTTGTTGAAATGTTGACTCATGAATTTCTTTCCATTCGAGTATTTCCGGTTGTTTATTTTTCGTGAGTTCTGTGAGTGGGTAGGCGATCTCTGCATACCCTGGGATATAATCGCGATAATAATTACATAGTCCTAACAGACTTTTAAGATCTCTTTTCGTTTTCGGCGTTTCCAGCTTCTTGATTGCCTCTATTTTCTCGGGATCTGGTTGATGTTTTCCTGATCCAATGATGTGTCCTAAATATTTAATTTGAGGTTTTGCAAACGAACATTTCTTCGAATTGATAGTAAATCCAAGTGACTCTAGTTTGGTAAAAACTTTATCCAGATGTCGGAGATGAGTGTCGAAATCCGTGGAAAATATAGCTATGTCATCAATATAGGCTCTTGAAAATTGTTGAAATTCTTTCAGCGCGTTATTCATTACTCTCTGAAAAGTTGCTGCTGCGTTCCTTAATCCAAAGGGTAGCACTTTAAACTGATATTGACCTCGATGAGTTTTGAACGATGTGTACTCTTTACTTTGTTCCTCCATGGGAATTGCCCAATATCCTTTCAGCAAATCTAAAGTTGTTATGACGTTGGCTCTTCCTATACTGTACATTAAATCAATGGCATTTTGCATAGGAAAGTCATCTGGCTTCGTCACTGCATTCAAAGCTCGATAATCTAAGCACAATCTGATATCTCCATTTTTTTTGCTTACACAAACTACTGGATGAGCTATTTCTGCATTACTTTCTTCTATTAGTCCCGATTTCAATAATTCTTCTACTTCTTCATCGACCTTGGGTTTCAATGCTTCAGGAATCCTATAAATGTAAGGTTTCTTCCTCTCCATATTGGGTATTAATCTAATTTTATGAGCTTCAACTTTAGCTATTTTCAGCTTTCCGGTGAATAGTGCTCGGTGTTTGTTGATAAGAGCTATCAATTTTCTTCTCTGCTGCGGATTCAAATTTTCTAAATTCAGATTTGCATCTATTTTAAAATCTTCCAGGGGGGTCGAGAGATCTTTTCCTGGTAAAGTTATAATTTCTCCAAATTCTTCTTCATTTTCAAATATCACTCCAACTGCATTGACACTAGCTTGGAATTTTCTAATTTTATTTGCATGAACATGTTTGATCTTTCCATCAGGTAGTTTTACTTTATAGGAATGAGGTGGGCAATGATTCACGATTTCTCCTGGACCAGTCCATCGTGCATAGAGTTTGTTATTTGAATCTGGTATGAGTAAATAAACTTGTTCTCCGATTTTGAAATTTTTTGGTATTGATCTCCGATTAAAGTACTCAGCATATTTTTGTTGTTTATCACTTGCAATTAAATTGGCTTGTTCGGCTGCTTGTTCTAACCTTATTTTTAAAAGTTGTAAGTAATCCACTGCCGATTCACTTAGATTAGGTGGTATAGGTATTTCTCCTGACCATGAAGACTTCAGTACTGCTAAAGGACCTCTTGGTTGTCTTCCATACATCAGCTGAAATGGTGAGACACCCGTGGTGCAGTTTGGTACTTCTCTGTATGCAAAGAGCAGGTATGGGATGTGCTTATCCCAATTCGAAGGATCAGTCCTGATGACATGATGTAACATTTGCTTGAAGGACTTGTTCCATCTTTCTACTAATCCATTTGAAGCACTGTAAGCAGGTGTAGAGAACCTAGGGTGAGAACCTAGTCTTTTCTGGAATTCTTTAGTTAATTTTGAAACGAAGTTACTTCCGTTGTCACTAGCTATTGTATTAGGGATTCCTGTTCTCATGAAAATCTCCAAAAGCGCGTCGCAAGTGGCTTTTGCTGTCAAGCTTCTCAGTGGAATGGCTTCTGGCCATCGGGAATGTTGATCTACCAGACATAACACATATTTATGTTTCCTAGCAGAGGAAGGTTCAATAGGTCCAATAATGTCGATGTTAACTGTTTCGAAAGGTAATCCTGGCCTTCTGACCGGTGTGATGGGAATCTTGTCAGATCGCTTTTCTGGACTTTTCAACTGACAATCTTTGCACGTTTTACAAAAGGTTTCAACATCTTGTGCTAATCCAGGCCAATAAAATGAATATCGTATTCGCTCCTTTGTTTTTCTTATCCCAAGATGTGCACCGAAAATGGAACTATGTGCTAATTCCAACACTTGTGCTCTTCTACTAAGTGGAAGCACTAACTGAAAAACATTCTGTCCTAATATTTTTTCTTGGTGATGTAAAAGATGATCAATAAATAAATAATTTCCTTTTTTTTTTCTATTGCTAGCTTCCATGCTTCTCTCAGCGAGGGACAGTTAACTTGCTCTTCGCGTAGGCGTTCAGCAGACGATAAGTCTGTGTTTACATAAACACTCGCCTTCTTCCCTTCCTCCTCTTCGTTTTTCTCCTCCATAAGCATTAGCGGGGGGGGAATCGACGCTGTCGTTTGACTGTGCATTGGCGAATAAAGTTTGTAAGTTTTCGCTTCCGTAATTATTTCTTTCTGCGTTTGGTTCTTCTGCCGCAGGATTAATCAACAGTTCGTATATTTCTGGAGTTATTAGGCAAGGCACATTTAGCTTATCAGTCACTGCAATTAATGTATCCACAAAATTAAATATATTGCTTCCATGATCTTTATGGTAAATAGGTACACGGCAAACTTTTGCTTCAATTGGTTGTCCGAAAGCAGGTGTTAGCAATATTTTACCTCCTTCTCTCTCCTCTAAATTTGGAATGAGCGATGAATGTACGATCGTTATCTGCGTTCCAGAGTCTACGATAGCTTCGATTTTCTCAGAGTTAATAAAAATATCTACTTTTTGCAGTGGTTGAACGATGCGTTCTGCGAATTCAGATCGTAGATGGGATGAGTCTACTTTAGCTACGATGGCTTCTTCTTTTGATGTTCTGTTTGAATTTTTTTGAGTTTTGGAATCATCCTTTCCCTTCTTATTTACTGCAGTTTCGTTCTTTCTTCTTTTGTCTGGGCAATCTCTCGCGATGTGTTGATAATTTCCACAAATATAACATTCTTTTCTTCTCGCGTGAAATCTTTCGTGTTTTGGATATTCTTTTCTCATGGGTGGTGGAATATATTTGTCGTGTGCACATGTTGTATCCAGGAATCTCGGTGATCGCTTAATTCCATTTCGAACTTCGTCGAAAGATTT